TTTAAAAATCAAAGGGAAATAACTTAAGAGAATATATCATGACAATAAATCTGTCATTAGTATTGCTCATAATCTAGTATAATATGATCGAATCATTTTCACGGATGTGGACAAATATTTTTTAAAAGAGAAACTAAAAATAAGGTTAATTTATTTGTACTCTGTATGTTCCAACATAAAGCCTAATACCCCTCTCATGGATGCATATACAAGAAAGGAAAGAAAGAAGCCACATATTGCTCCCTTGGCATGAAATTTCTGCAAAGCATGGGTGGGTAGTAGCTAAAAGTACATTTTCATTTTCATTTTTTGTACCTAGCATTTTTTCTAAAGTTTGTATTATTTTCATTTATTATCTAGTAGCTTTTTCTATTAATATGCATAGGAGGAATAATCAAACCAAGCTTTCTAGCCAATTCTTCTCTATTAAAAAAATGTACATGAATGCTTTTTTGGAGATGAAAGCACTATTTCTCAAAAAAAAAAAAAAAAACCTTAAACGAATTTCAAAAATTGAGGTCCAATAGTCACTTAAATTGCATGTTCACATACAGGTGTTGCATTTAACTTAACAAACTAGTTGCTATAGTATAAAGGGGCATCATGCACTGCATAATTCATTGGGAGGTACCACTTTGATACGTCTTGGTACCAAAAACAGCAAAATACTCCAAAGGATTCCACACAAAAACAGATTTTTTATTGATAAAGAGAACAAATACAACCCAAGCAAGATACAATGATCCTCTTTCGAGAGGAGGATCGTCTCTCCCAAACCCTAGACACCGCTAGGATCCCTCATATAAAGAACTACAACAAACACCCACAAAACTCATCAATAACATGCTTTAAACCCTAGACAATTCTCCCTTAAATAGCCCTAATCACCATAACACAAATAGAAGCTTCCTAAACAATTAAACATGATTTAGGAAACCTTCCTAAACAATTAAACATAATTTAGGATACCTTCCTAAACAATTAAATACTTCATAAATAGTATAAATATAATTAAAAAACATTCCTAAACAATTAAACATAATTTATGACACCATCCTAAACAATTAAATACTTCATAAATAGTATAAACATAATTCATGAAACATTCCTAAACAACTCCCCTTGATTAGGAACCTTTTAAATATTTCCCCCTAGGCCCCAAAAGCCCGCCACTGGCGTTTCAATACTCTCCTTCCAAAAAATCACCTTGTCCTCAAGGTGCAAGGAAAGGAACTGTCTCCTAATCATTTGTTTTAACAACAAAACATACTTCCTGTCGAGAACCACTAAGCACATGATCCAGTTTTATATCATTCATTATATGCTCGTGCTTCACTCTAGAGATATATCATCTTTCAACAATTTAACATCATTGCCAATGCCTTCACTTTTTATCCACTTGCTCTAGTCATCCCAGTCATCAACTATTTTTTCCTAGTCAAAGCTAGAAAGGTTAAAAAGAAATAGCGCAAAAAATCAAGTGACAACAAGGAACCACATGGATGTAGTGAGAAGCATAAAGGTTGTTGAATTAGTAGTTGCAAATCCATAAATCTGATAAACAATTAGCGGCAACATAAGTTTCAGACCCTTTGTAAAATGACTTCTAGAGTACATCTTATAGTTCTCTGCAAACTTTACATGTCGCCCAATGAATCCTCGTCTAGTAACTCTATGTTTTGCTTCGCCATATAGGATTGTCCATCCAAAGTAGTAGAATTTTGTTCAACACTAAGTACAATTGGAGTTGCATGATGATTATGTCACCCATAGCAGTTCTGAATCCCCTTTTCAGCCCATTCTCCATAACCATGGGTAAGGTCATCAATAGATCAAGCTGGACGGTAGATTGAGAAGCCATAGCAGCCTTCAGAGGATTATTTCCTCTCATTAGTGCCTGCTTCATAATGGCAACCTCAAGCCCACTTAATGACAGGTAAGGCTTGCCATAGAGGAAAAGGTGGACTATGATAACAACTATCATTGAGCTGACATAGAACCCCAAAGTTGTGAAGTAGTACGAAAGCATGCAGAAGAAATCAAATTGGTGGCCCAAGTGATAGATATATTTGCCAAGTATTTGTTCTCCATTGCTACATGCAACCTCTTCAAACAGGGAGATTTTGTTGAGTCCAACATTACGACCCTTCCCAACCTGAATATACTCATTATGGGTGATATTTCATTGCCTTAATGTCAAATTGAATCCTACAAAGATATCCTCACTTAGGTTGATTGCATGAGAAGCCTTGCTTATGTCACCTTTAATGATGTGAAAATTCCTGTCAGATACATCTGGATGCCCGTATTAGAAGCAGACCTTCAGTAGAATAGCTAGAACCCTTTGTCCAATTATCACAAAACTTGTTTCTTGGTTTGACATGAACCATCCCAAAGATGAAATATTTACTGTAAAAATGTGCTCGCGTATGCCAAGAATGGTTGGTGGGCGTAGTCCATGGTCTTCATTGAATTCCTCCAAAAGATCTTCATTTTCAAAGCCACTTCCAAATAATTATCCCGCTTCATATCAATTGTATGAAGAGCCTCCCCGCTGGTAAAGACAACTACATGGTTTTGATTTTCTAGCTCACCTTCACCAATCTTTGCTGCTCCAAGTAATTTGATGCGGTAGATTTCCTGATTAGACCATCAACTTGGCTTTGCAAGTTTATTCATTTGCCCTCTTTATTCACATTTTTCTCTTTTCATATCAGTTTATCTTTGAAAGAAGCTTGTGTAACACTTATTGAACTCTCACTCTTCCTCTCCTCAATTATTTGCATCTTTAACTTTCTTCCCCTAGGATCGCACCGCCCCAACAGCTTCTTCCTCCTCCAATGTAGCGGTTCTCGTGATCCCTCAATGTTTCCCCTGTGTACTGAGGGTGGAACTCCCACTTTTCTTCCATCCACCTCACCTGACATGGCCCAAGGCTCAACCCATCTCCCTCCTTCTCTGATCGTCAACTCCCCATTGCCCAAAAAGCCTCCCATAGTGGTCAACCACTCCACCACCTCCACAATAAAACTCCCTTCATGCTGTCCCTCTATCCGAAAACCCTATTTCCCCCCTTCTCTGAGCTCTAGAAGGTGGCTCTTGATGAAAGGAGTTCTTTCGTCGAACTCTTTTTGTCCAATCTTTTTCCCTTTAGATTCGCCCAAAAGAATCCCGATCAAATCTTGATTAGGGTTACCAATTGGAACAATCGAAGAGGTTTTGCATCGCATCTCCAAAAGTTTTTTCATCATCTCCTCCAGAATTTCCTTTCCCTTTGGTTCAGTCGTAGGAATCGTTAGTGAAGTTTTCAATTGCATCTTGAGTATTTTCTTCATCATATATTCCAAATTTCCAAACCTTCCTTCCATCGCTGAAATACATTCCTTCATCGATCCCACGCTCGTAGTTTCCCTACTTCCCCTTCAAACTTTGCTTCCAACGCCTCAACTCTTCTTGGTACTTGGATCAATGATTTAGCAGTAAAAATCAACCACTTTGTTGTGAATCTGGCCTCCAAACAATAAAATTCAGCAAACAGAGAGAATAAACTCAAAAAAAAATCAGTGAGGAAAGCTGATATTTCGGTCTAGGACATCGCTCTGATAGCAATTCGATATGTGTTGATATCAAAAACAACAAAATATTCCAAACGATTCCACATAGACAAATTTTTTATTGATAAAGAGAACAAATACAAACCAAGCAAGATATAATGGTCCGCTTTTGAGAGAAGGACCGTCTCTCCCAAACTCTAGATGCCGCTAGGATCCCTCACACAAAGAACTACAACAAATACCCACAAAACTCATCAATAGCATGCTCTAAACCCTAGATAACTCCCATTAAATAGCCCTAGCCATCATAACACAAATAGAACCTTCCTAAACAATTAAGCATGATTTAAGAAACTTTTCTAAATAATTAAATATAATTTAGGATACATTCCTAAACAATTAAATACTTCATAAATAGTATAAACATAATTTAGAAAACATTCCTAACAATTAAACATAATTTAGGACACCTTCCTAAACAATTCAATACTTCATAAATAGTATAAAGAAAATTTAGGAAGCATTCCTAAACAACTCCCCTTGATTAAGAACCTTCAAATATTTCCTCATGGGCCCCATAAGGTGCCCCCCCATGCCATTTTTTAAAACAAATCACAGTTCCTCATAACAATAAAAAGTACGACAAGTTCTAAAAGAAATTCAAGGGTGTAGGTGTGGTACAAGATTTACTTACACTACATATTAACACAAAGGCGATGTTTTCAACTTAACAAAATGTTTAGAATAAAAGGTTAAGGTGCAGTGCATTAAGCATGAGCCGGAGCCTCTTATACCCGATTTTTTAAAAACCGAATCGATCAGGCCGTTCGATCCGGTTCATCCTAAAAATCATTTATGCATCAAACCGAGCTAAACCAACTAGAACCGCCAGTTCAATGGGCAAACCAGTGAACTAGTCCCAATTACATTAAATCAACAAGTTCAATTTCTGAATTATTTAAATAAAAAAAATTCTTAGAATCCTTACGATCCACTTTATATAATTCCCAATTATCAGAATTTTTAAAATTAAACTAATTTTTATAACAAATCTTCTTATTTTTAATCTTTTCTTGCACAATTGGATTCCATCACCAACTATTTTTACTATTAAGAGCTTTTCCATTTAAAGATTGAATATATTTAAATTTAAAATTACATAAGATATTATTAATGTATGAATTCAATTTATTTTTTAATCAAAATTTTATATTATTACATAATTATTCTATCATTTATATTTTATTTAAATAACTTTCATATTTATTACGTCATCGAGTTCAACCCCAGTCGATCCATTGAACCGTTAACCTCTCCTTTTTCTTGTTCTATTTCCAGTCCAATTTTCATAACCTTGCATATACCAACTGCTTTAAATTGAATCGCAAATCATACCAATAAATAGTTAAACTCTGAAAGCAAACAAGCAGTGAACAGAGTAATTACCGCAGTCTTTGATTCGATGGCTTCCCAATAAATACATATCGAATGCCTGCTGCACGCTTTGATATATGATAATACAAACCTGTAAGAAAGCTTTTATATCAACTACAATAAAGTCATGCTTTGGAGTCTACTTAACACAAATAAGTCTAGCACAATATGACAGGAAAATTAGAATGAAACCAAAGAGCAAACATGGAGAACAGAACGAAAATCTCTTCCTAAGTAGGAACTTCTGCATAAATCTTGTAACTTATTTGCAGCACCTTCAAAATAGAAAAACATGAGGTTTGCTCGCAGAGCCAACTGAGCAGCTTCTCGAGCAAATGGAAGCACCTGGATAACCAGCCAATTTTTTAATTGAATGGAAAAGGAGGGGAAAACTAACCATTGGAAGTGTTAACTTCCAGTGGAATAAAATGCATTTCACATAAGAATCCCGAAGCTTGTTCCCATGAGGTGCCTGCACACAACCCAGTGTACTCTTGGAGTCAGCACCATCTCTTAACAAATTGTCTGGATCCATGAGAACATTGGGTCATTTATCGGTGCCTCACATGGGCACAAGTCTCATTTCTTTATAAAATTCAAGAAAGAATGATATGAAAATTTCCACCAGAAGAAATAAAACTTAGAGTCTTAGATGCAAGTTCTCAGCTGGTAATTCAAGTACCATAGGCCATTTCTGAACTGCCCAAAACCATAAACCAACAAACTTTTCTTTCATCTTTGAAATGGCAGATGTAGGCAGTCCTCTTGATGATGAGCTTCCACTACTAGAAGGTTGTGCTTGATTCCTTCTCAAATAATTGCTTTCATGAAGTTCCCCAAACTGAAAATCATCCATGGTCATACCATGAGCGGTCATTCTAGAGCTGCAAGACATATTTATGAAGGTCAAATACCATTAAATTTTGAAATTTCTAGGAAAATAATAACTTAAATTAAACATAGCGTATAAGGGGATTGAGGTAAAAATTATGTGAAGTCAAATAGAGAAATCACAGACCTAAGTCTTTCTGCGAGATAAGGAACAACCGTTTGGTAGAAGATGAAAACTATACGTCTTGCAGGTGTTGGTGGGAGCCCATATGAGTCTGCAACCTAAACAAACCAAATACATATATCTAACACAAAAAAGCTAAGTATCACAAATTCATACAGACTATTCATTTTTAAAGCAGGTCGAAATGATAAACTACAACAGAAGACAGTGACAATAAATACCAAAAAAGATTTTGAGATTATAAGGAGAAACAGGAACATGCAAGTTTCCAAATTTGCCCCAAGTAACAATGCACTTGCATCCCTAGAACATGACCTTCATGATTTTTTTTTCTATTTAATAATGGCCTTATGGCATCAGGTTGCAGAAAGAATGAACAGCGATCGCTTTAAAAAATTATTTCTATGAAGAATTTTTTGCTGTACAATCAAGTGCACTGTCCATCCAAGAGATACTGCTGCAAATGAGCCCAAGTAATAAGCCAAAATCTGACCAAATGGAAGAAGTAATTATTAAAGCATCCTTCTTATAAGGGTCGATTCAAGCTATCTCCATAGGTCGATTGCAATGATATACGAAAGCAGATTGTACACTTTTCTTAGGGGGTGTTTGGTATCAGATTTGTCCGTCATTTTTAGTAGGATTTAGCGTAAATCCAGCCAAACGCAATCCGCGCCGCTGTAAATCCGGCAAATCCGTAAATCCAAGATTTAAGGCATAAATCCGGTAAATCCGTCTAAATCTTAATCCCATTCATATTCGGATTTAACGCCACTTACAATTGCGGAACTTCTTCCCGCGGCGCCCGTGTCTAGATATGTTGCCTGAGCTATTTTAAATCCTATAATCTGTTGCCAAACAACTTCTCTGGATTTAACAGGATTTAAAATTTGTCATACCAAACGCTTTTCAGGATTTATAAGCCTAGGATTAACTAAATCCGGATTTACAGGATTTAGTAAATCCTACAAAAATTGAATCCAATCCTATACCAAACACCCCCTTGGTTGTATATAAGGTATTTAGAAGAAAACTATCAGCTTCATCTCCAAATTATTTTATTTCATCAACATAGATGGATCATGGATCTTAAAGAAATTTATAAACTTAAATTATCACATAGTATCAGTAAAAGTTTACTTGAAGAGCGCAAAATAAAATATCTAGTAGAAGTTGGATGAAAAACAAAGGACTTATAAGAACAAAAATGAATAATATATTCAGCTATTAAAATGTGTGTATGTAGAATAAGACATTGTATAGCTAGGTTTGACCAGTTGTAAACTAAATGAAGATGACCTTGATTAAAATACATAAAATAAAATTACCACCCGTATAACATACATTAAAACCTTTTCTCTTCTCCTCTCTCATAGATTGGTGATTTATACAGAGATCTCATGAAACACTGTGAAACAGCATTTTTCAAGCGACAAAGTTGTTAAGAAAATAGCAGATATCAACAGGATATTACAAAAACAAGAAACCTGAGAAAGATCACAATATTCTTCTCCTAATGTCTGCTGCCCTGCACCTGTTGTCAGTAGATAATACAATGTCTGACCTAAAAGCTTTATCTGCAAGAACAAAACAGTCCTTTCCTAGTTTAGGAAATGCCAGTGAATCTGAGAAGGAAGAATCAAAACTTAGAGACTGGTTAACTAGTGCGATATAAATTTATGCTTATTAGCGAACACATTAATTGACATAAGACGAGAACTAACCTCGCTTTGGAAAGTTACAACTACCCTCGTTCCTAAACAACAAATAGAACAGCCACATCAATAGAAAAATAGGAACGAACAAGGGAGAAGGAAGAACAAACAAAGGTGGTTTGGAAACTCAACCAAAGAGGTGACGGAAAGCATCACGGCATGCATCGTGGACAAAGGCGGCATATTGGTCGTCCTTCTCCGCTGCTCTCATGATCTCAGGCTGGGCCGCCGGCGGGAATCTCCGCTCCGACGAGCCCGGCGTGCTTGAGCTCGTTCCAGTCTCTCCGCCGGCGGCATCGCGCCGACCTTCCATTAGTCTTTTTTTGGGACAAACCGAGTAGAATCGCCTATCCGCTTGCCTATCCGGAGAGTAATAGGGTGTCAATTTTTGAGAAAATTATTACTTCCCCTGTCCGGATGTTTTGGCAATTCAAACGTGCCAGAATTCAATGCATTTGGGTGATGTGGCTAGTTTGAATTTGATGTCCAGACCTCCGGTGACCGGAAGTAATAATTCTCTCAATTTAGATCACTTGTGGGTTATGGTTGAATCGAAACTCATCTGATACTATTTGGGTCAATTTGAATCCAATCTATTTTTTAAAATGGGTCAGTTTTTGAGATCCAAACCCAATATGTTTCAAGTTTGAGTCAATCTGACTCGACCCGCGCAACAATCAGTCATGTGTGTGCGTTCTCAATTCGTCGTCAAAGAGTTGAAGGAGGCGTTGTAGTCGACAATTGTTGATGCCGCCGACCAGACCGAATGGAATGTCGTTGAAGTATGGGCTGGCTAGTTTCGCAATTGGCAGCAGCAAGCTGCCAGATGAAGGCGACGGCGAGCTACTTCAGGTAGCAACGCTGGCAAATGACAGCAACAGCGAAAGGAGCGAAGGCCGGATCAGTGGGCAGGAATGACGAAGCCGAGGTCATCTGGTTTGAGCTGCCAAATGACAACGGCTGAGTGACGTACAATGAAACTGAGTTGGACGACGCAATGGATGATGTGACGGACGACGCGACCGTCTACTTATCAAAAAATCCGAGTCAAATCTGGTTAATTTCGAGTTTCCGAGTTAACCTAAAACCGACCTGATTTTACAAATGGGTCGAAAATCTAAAACCCGAATCCGACATAATTCTAGTTTGGGTCAACCCAAACTTGAAATTTTTGAGTTAGTTTGGATTTGGATTTTCAAATATTAACACCTCTAGAAAGGACTGCGGGCCGTGGCCACGTCACTTACGGGACCATTTGGGGACAGCCTTACTCTTATTAGTTATTACATATTACTACATTATATTGTAACATAATAATTTAATTATGAAATTTTATTTTCATTAAAAAAACTAAGAATATTTACCTACATAGCACGCAAATTTTTTTTTTTTAATTTATATATTTAATATCTAAATATTATTATTTACTTATATAATATTTTAATAAAAATAAACTATCAATTACCATCAAATAAATCTAGTTTAACATGTCTCGCAAAATTCACGCATTTTGGTTACACTGCCTTCATCACACACCACTGATAGACGTCCTCACAGTACTCACTAAGACTACGCGTCAATTGTGACTAAGACACTAAAATAATGCATCAATGACACTACCACAATAAAAGAATTTGCGAGAAAGCTTATTAAGGCAAAGCATTGCTCGATAACATAATGAGATCAAAAAAAAGAAGTTGCCATGGAGCTAGTGGGGAAAGTAATTTTTTTTTATATATAAAAGGGGACTTGCCCCACTTTATTCAATAAAACAACTAAGGCCCAGAGTCAGACAAAGCAAAATACAAGTTGAAGATAGCGAAAAATGGAAATCAACCCCCAACAAGGAGCAAAAATAAAAATGACCGCTAAGAAGCCGAACACTAATGAAGAGGGCAAAGATGCCAGCCGGACTCAGAAAAAGCTCCTACAACCACCTAAAAGTACTCAAGCAAGGACCATCCAATGATGATAGCAAATGATGAGCGAAGCAAAGGATAACCAACGAGCATCAACCTACAAAACAAGCAAAGGGTCTTGAACAAAATGAGAAGAGTGACCATCAAAGTTGCCAACAAGCAAGGCTATCAAAGTTGAGAACAAAAGCAGCCTCATCATTGTGTGGATCAGCCACATTAAGCAAACAACACAAAAGAGTGCTCGTCAAGAGAAGGCCACCATAGATAACAATTTACTTCTTCTTTGATTTTTCTCCTATGGTGATTCCCATCGCCATTTGAGAAGTCGTGATCCACAATGCGCCCCACCTTCAAACTATATAACTCTTGAAAATCATGCACATGCTCAATGACATTATCTCCAACACCACCGCAGGACGAGGATAATGATTCATCCAACCAATCACATAGTTCCTCAGTGTTGTTATTCAAAGTCAAAGTCAAATGAGTTTTCAATTCAACATTAGACATAATTGAAATTGGAACATCAATAATTGACACATTTACCTTAATACTCTCACAATTAGGTGACAAAGGCGATCCCAAAGAAGCCAAAGGTGATTCAAGAGTAGTCTTCTTCAAATCTCCTAGTGATTCATTCAAAACTACCTTGTTAACATCACACACTAACACTTTGAGCCTATCCTCAACATGACAAAAATCATTAACAATTCCTTGACAAAACCCAACATCCAGCATTCAGTTGGCATCATAAACATCTTGTGGGGAAAATCTAATGACATTAAAAAATGCGACAAATTAGGTATACAATAAACATTAAGAGTTAAATATATAACTCGAAAAATTTTAAGTGTTATGTATGTAAATCCCCTAATTAATTTAAAAATAATAATAAATCATAATCACATAAAAAATGCTAAACTTTTTTAAAAATAGATAATGAATATTGGAGTCACATTTTATTTGTTATTTTTGAAGTAATTTCTTTAATATAATATATGATTTAAATTAATTTATTTCATGATTGTGAATTTGAATCCTTTTTATATTAATATTACAGAATAGACCACCATTAATTAGTTTATTCAAATTTGAAAAAAATCTAAAAAATAATACTTGTAAGCAAATAATGGACTTATGCTTCATTTGAGATAACTTTCTCACTATTTTATAAAGCAAAATTCTGTACTAAATTTTTTTTAAAAAAAACAATAAAAAAAATTATCTTAATGAAACCTTAATAATGGAGTTTCACCAAATTAAAAGCCATTTTTTTCTTTTTTTTTTTTTCCAGGAAACTAACGATGCTTTCATTTTTTTTGCTCTCACTGAAAAATTTTTAACACCAATTTTGGCGATCAGTTCATCATCCAAGACTTAGGCTTCGTTTGGGACGGCTTTTGTATTGCTTTTTAAAACGGAGTTTTAGTACAAAAATAAAAAAAAATTGTACTAAAACTCTGTTTTAGAAAGTAATAAAAAAGCCGTCCCAAACGAACCCTTAATCTTTCCCTTAACTATTTTATCGATATTGGAATTGCTTGTTTAACAAGGGAACCACTTCATGTCAATAGAATCATACTCTTACATTATATGTATATGTTAGGTTGTTACACTGCTAGGAGGCCCATGGAGAAAATTAGAAAACTTAGTGGTAGTGAATGGTGTAAAATATAAAATTTACATTTGCACATAAGATAATAAATGTACATAAAATATGTAGTGATATATCATCAAAAATTAAATGTGATCGGGCACGAATCTTGAGGCAAAATTAAGTTGGAAACTTCTGAACTTAAATTCGGGACCATCCAAACTCCGATTCAACAAAGTTATAGTCGAGCTGAACATCTCGAAAAGGCGAAACCAACGACAATGAATTTGACCCAATTGAGCCCAAATGGGTCCAAATCGAAGACCCGAAGCGCATTATAAAGGTTCAAACCATAAATTGAATGATCAAGCATTTTTCAAACAAGACATGCTTATAATAGAATCAAGCGGCTCGACAAAACAAATCCAACGAGCCCATGATCGCCGAATTTTGATATCATTAAGATGCTCAAGCGCAATTGTCCCCCTAAAAAAATAAAATTCTCCTTATGCTACATGACAGGCTTGTGATATTTTTAGTGGATGGAAGTCTGGAGGTCTTGATATTATTAACCTCTCAGTCAAAACTTTCTTTATATCTACTATTTTAAAACTAAAAGCTTCTCAAATGGATTATTTTAACTGCTTTTTTATGTTTAATATGAATCCGATTAAAAATAAATTATATGGAATGAAGTTATTACTGTTAGATCTAAATGGTATTCTAACTATATCATTAAAAGAGATTTTAAGGACACTATTTCTACTAATGAAAAAATAAGCTTTGCAAAATAGAATGTAAATCTTATAATTTTTAAATAATTATAATGTAATATACAAATCTATTTTTTATTTTATCTTTTATATGTAAAAAAGTTTGCCCCCCCTAAAAATTAAGGTCAGTTCCGCCCCTCGATCTCACTATCAAATAACTAGTTTTTATTTTGTAAAATTTCATCATAACCATCTCATTGAAAGTTGCAATCATTTAAAAAAGATTTAGGCTTCGTTTGAGACGGTTTTCTTATTGCTGCTTGAAATATTTTTCTACTATAAAAATTTTATTTGTTGTACTAGAAAGCTGTTTAAAGAAGCAATAAGAAAGGCGTCTCAAACGAAGCCATAATCATTAATTGAGCAAAGTTTTATAAAAAATTTGGATATTTTTTATGCATATTATTTTCTTTTATTTATTTGATATTGTTGATAGAAATCTTATTACGAACTTATTCCAAATATTTGATATTTTCATAAAATATTAAATAAAAAATATATTAAAAAATCATTGGATAAGATTTCATTTGGGACGATTTTATTACCGCTTTTTATTACAAAAATTTTTTGTTTAAAAATTTTTTGTGCTTAAAAATATTTAAAAAAGTAATAAAAAGCAATCTAAAACTAAGCCTTAAATTATTAGATGAGTTTTATATAGTTCTTCTATTCATATTTATTAACAGTATATAACTACAAATGTTTGGAAGGGAGGTACTCAGCGATCATAGAAACATAATACAACAAAGCATATAAAATCTGCCTCTAACAATATATTTCCTGAGCATGTTTTGCCTCTCAAGCCTGCAATAAGCTCTTTTATACTCAAAAGGATAACAAGAAGGAAACCAAATTTTATATTTAGATTTTGCTTGGGACAACTTTATTACTGTTTTCTAAAAAAAAATTTTAGTACAAAAATTTATCAACTAAATTTTTTTTTTTCTTAAAAATTACTTTAGAAAGCAACAAAAAAGCTGTTCCAAACGAAATCTTAGATCCTCTTGAAATAACTTTTTCTAACCATACATACATTCTACTTTAGATGATTGTGATTGGATCCAACAAAAGAGATTGGAGTCACAAATTTTTTTCAAAACCTATTTGATTTTGGTGGACCTAATCACAACCATATATGATAGATATATTATAGGGGTGTCAATTCGGGTCAACCCGTCGGGTTCGGGTCGAACCCGACCCGACCCGCAAAATTTTTAAAATTAAACAGGTTTTCGGGGCCGGGTCAACCCGATCTGACCCGTTTTTTCAAACAGGTCAGATCTGCGAACCCGAACCCGACCCGTTTATCGGGTCCAACCCGGATTTTCCGGGTCGGGTTTTCGGGTCGGGTCAAAAGTTGACACCCCTAATATATTATATGATTGCAATTGGGTGATTGCCTATTATAATTGGAGATGATTTATATTCAAATTTGTTATCATTGTCTTCAACACAATGGTTGGGTACTCACTGATTGCTGTCAATGGGCTTTACTTCTTAATTGAGAAAGCTCGTTATCAGCTCTCTTAGATGTGATGAACTCTTCTAAAATATATTATTTATAATAATATAGATTACTCAAAATAAGAGCATTATCGTTAAGGGGCTGTTTGGTTTGTAGAAAAATGAATGCATACCGAAATAGAACGCAGTGTAAAATAAATGAATGTAATGTATTTTAAATTTGGTGAGTGTAAAATAAATGTATGTGATTAATTTTTTTTAATTGAAATAAAATGAATGCACTGTAAAGCATAATGATGTTGATGGTCGACGACTAGCAATGACTACAATATAGCGGTTGTAGTTGGTGGCGACGTGTAGTGGCCAGCCGACAACAATGATAGCAATTGCCAGTGATGTTGGGCAGCAACTGATGACGGCTAGTAGCGTCCGCAAGTGGTGGTCCACGATAGTCGGAAACTATGACAGTAATGATATAGAATTTGTTGTGTAGTTGAAAATAAGTTAATTCTGATGATTTTTAAATACACCATATAATGAACTGGAGGGTTTAAATACTTCAAAATTTTGCGTTGCATTTGTTTACTTCAAAAGAAACACCTATATTTTCAAAATCACTGTATTTGAAATATTTTACACAAATTTCATTTCAAATCATATAAACCTCTAAACAATATGTTAATGTTAATATTGTGGTTATAAAATACGAACTATAACACAAAGTTATTTAAAAAAAAAACTAATGCGAACGAAAAATAGGCACTCGCATTGAACTAGTTGAGATATTTCAAGGTTTATCGCCATAATTTACTTTTTGCACAAACAATCATAAATGACAAAATGTTAAATTTTTATTGAATATTAAACCCTCAAAAAGAATATTTATTTGGTGATCTAATTTGGTTAGCCATTTCTCATAAACTTTTATACTGTTAGAAAATTGAAATTAATTAGATGCTATTTCATTAATTTCATATCAAATAAGGGACAAGGATTTATTAAGCAAATCTCAAGTAGTTATGACAAGACAAATGATGCCATCAAAATAGGCAAATTGGCATTACTACAGATTCCAGGCCCACTTGCCGGCTCGCGTAGCATTAATTAGGCCCATGGATATCAGACCGAAGATCAAATCGGGCCCGCCCACACATTATGAGATCAAATCTTCTTTGAGAATCACGCATCGATCCCTAACTGTAGGAGATGAACTGAATCCTTTCGAAGGATCAAATTCTCAGATTAGATCGAAGATCTTCGATGCCATAGATTCCGTCAACACTGAGAAAATCTCGGAGATTTTTAGCTAAACTCGAAGGCCACGTAATCCAGTTTTTTTTTTTTTCCGTTATTTTTTATTTTTACTTTGAGATTTGATCCTTTTTAATCATGTAACTTTATTCAAAATGATAGTTTTTTCTGTCTCCTAGATCTCCTGCATTCAAATCTCTCGCTTGCTTCCTAATAAAGAAAAGCTGGCAATTTCCAATCTTCAAAGCACTGCGTTAATCACCAATTCACCGGTTACAGTTTTACACTCGTAGAAATTTCGTTAAATTATTTAAAAATCATACATTCTGTAGGAATGGAGACTTTCAAAGCGTGGCTGTCAAATCGCCTTTATTTCAAGTTTTAAGGAGCAATCGTTGATTTCCGTCGGGGCAGCGAGGGATCTTGCCCACAATTCATCTCTCTCTCCCTCTCTCTCTATCTCGCTCTACTTTCCTTCTTTCTCCTCTCTGCATTCGGTTTCTGGATAAATTTTCTTGATTTCCGACGTAAGCTGCGAGAAACTAGAAAAACTTTTGCGACTTTCAAAGTTTTGTTTGTAGCGTGAAGAAGCAATTGACATCTAGGATTTTAACTTTTATTTATTTAATTTTTCTTTTCCTTTCTTTTGGGGTTTGCTATGTGGTGGAGAAACCAGTGCCTCAACCTGGGATCTTTGCCTTCGATGTTTTCAGAAACGGGTCTTCTTTGTTTCGGTAGAATACCGTGAATTTCTCATTAAAATCCGATATTTTTGTTTTTTTTTTCTATTAGGTTCTGCATATTTCTTCAATTTGTCTTGTCTTTACTCATGTCTGCTCTACTGTCCTTTCTTCGTCTTCCTCATTCCCGAAGATTTCTTTTACAGCTCAGCATTTTCTTCTCCCTTGCTCTCAACCAGAATCAAAAGTTTTTTTTTTAAGCTTTTCTGCAGTATTGTATTCTTCTGATATTTTTGCAGTAGATAGATTCTTAGCCGCATTTGTATTGTTCTTCGTTGAGTCTCGGATTCTTGATGAGGTTTTAACCTGGACGTCTGTGGATATCGTTCCCCTATGTCTATTTTGATATACTTTTGTGCCTTTGAAGGAACCTCCTTGTCATTAATCTTCGTTCTATTCCTCTTGTTAGATAAAGAGATGGAAAGCATGATTTCTCTCACGCCTCTCAATGCTTCGTACCTCTTCAACCCCCCTCTTTCTCTCTCTCCCCAATTCGATCAACTTTTGTGTCTTGGATGTAAGAATCCTGCTTGTCATCAATCGTCATCCTATCTCCTTGTTATATAAAGACATGAAAGTTGCGATTTCTCTTATTCCTTTCTCTGTTTGGTACTTCCCAATCCTCCCTTCCTACCTCCGTACCGTCTCTCTGTCTCTCTCTCCGTTCCCCCTCTTTTCCTCACGCTAGAAATTTCTGCAAATTTTTACCCAATGGTTCATTTGGTTGTTAGAAAATTAGAAACCATGTTTTGGAAACGATGAAGTGACCAAATTCTATAATTCGTGATAAGAGATCAATATTAGTTTTGAACTTTATAAACACTCTCCAAATCGGTCAAATTTGATGATTTGATTTTATAATACAAAATGAGTGAAAAACTAAATTATCTATTTTTAAAATATGTTTCATGTCAAGGAACCAAATCAATATATTGAATTTTCTTTCTTAGGTAGCCTCTTATGTTTGCATTCTCCCCTTATTTTATATGACCTGTTTGCAGGCTTGAGTGAGGAGATAAGGGGTCAAGAGCAGCAAGTGATGGAGGGTGATGCTTTTTCAGGCCTTGGCAATGGGAGTTTTGTGGGCAACAAAGTTCTTCAGCACTTCAACAACAGTTTTGGGCAAGTTCAGAGCATATTGGATCAGAATCGCCTTCTAATAAATGAAATTAACCAGAACCATGAGTCAAAGATACCCGATAACCTCAGCCGAAATGTGAGGCTTATCAGAGAACTCAACAACAATATCCGACGAGTTGTCGATCTCTATGCCGACCTTTCCACCTCATTTTCAAAGTCCATGGAGGACTCCTCTAATGGCGACTCTGCAGGAACTTTGAGATCTGATGGCAAGGCTGGTCTTAAGAGAGTTAGATCTGGGTAGCATTCTGAATCTTGTAGAAGAATGGTTAAGGCCTTCAAATTCTTTGGTAAGATCACAAAGTGATTGGTAGGCTCAAAATTGAACTTTCTGCCGGCCTTTCTTGACAAAGAGAGTAGTTCTAGTGCAAAATAAGAGGTGATAATTCTTGTAGTGTTGTATTCCTGAGCAGCTCTAGTTTATCTCTTCAATTAAATGATGCTTTTCTCTTCCATTGATCTTATTGTATATCTTATTGATTCTCTTTGTAGCAAATTGCTTGATCAGGGGAACAAGCTTCATATCTTTTCATTATGAATTGTTACTCACATAAACAAATATATGGATTATAGCCTATGTTTCTTTTTTGTTACATTATTGATAGTTTGTTCAATTGTTATATTCTCTGCAAAATTTTTATGCTCTCAGCATAGAAATACATCAAATTGTTTATTCTTCATTTATCTGCATCTGTGATAAAAAGGTTTTCTGACTATGTAACTATTTTCATGATTGGCGTGAATTATTGCTTGCATAATATGGAATTTACTAAATATCTTTTCCACCACACCTTTCCTCATCTGATAATTGAAGCTTTACCACCTTTGGATTCCATCTTATATTGTCAAAAAAGGTTGAAATCTGATCCCCGGCTCCATAATTCTCTGTCAATGATGTTCTTTCATCACTACCATCATATCATCCTCTTTGGTGGATTATGTACTCAGATGCATGCCATTTTGTCTTCTTCTTTATCTCCACCTTTCCTTCTACATTACTATTCTCTTACTTTCTTTTTCAGAACTTTATTTGAGGACTTGGGGGAAGGGAGTTTTCCCCTTCAGAGCCCAGAAAAGAAATGCTGTTATGCTCATCAGACTTTACCCTCTTGGAATCAAGCCTTATCTGCTCAACTGACCTGCAAAGTTAGTGGGCTTCTAAAGATGTCATTTTAATGCGTAAATATGAAAGAAAGCTACTTTTAAGCTTTTTTTTTTTTGTCTGAGCTTTCAATAATAATACTTCAGATTAGAATGCCATATTACAGAAGATTAGCTTCTTGGCTAATGCTTTGTTTCAGCTTAATTACAATCTCCTTGGTCTTTTCTGAAGGGTCTAAAAGCCAACAGAAATTTGAGAAGTCCTGAAAGCTTGTATAAGTACTGTACCTAATAATGTAGAGCAGTAACTTCCTGTATAGGAACAATAGGATCCTTAAATGGCATCTGCAATTTTTGAAGATTTGTGCTCACAAAAACATAGGAGACATCGGGATTCCTGGTTCTTGATTGCCATTCATATTTTAGCACCCTTTTGCTCCTTATCGAATGAGTTCAGAAGAGTAAAATCATACTCTCTAAATGTACTCGTGCTCTTGTTTCCATGTGAGCAGCTTATATAGTACCTTTTTGAGGCCTTGGTTGTTTCTCCGTAATTTCTCCGTATGCAATTTGAATTGGCAAAAAAAAAGAATTGTTTTGCTGTTTGGTAACACCGCTTCTTCAAAATAACTTTCGGTGAACCTCCGTATTTCCTCCGATTTGAGAAGAAATTTTTTCTCCATTTTCCATTCTAAAAGCTCCGTTAAAAACGAGAAAATAGAGCCGGGGAATCAAACGAGGCCTGAATTAGTTCATTAAAATTCTACTCCTACATCTCATGTTCAGCTCTTACTCTTCTCTATTCTAAGATATTTCTCCTAGAAACAAAGTACTTCACTTAGAAACAAGAAATCTACAACCACAATTTTTTTAAAACATTCATATCATGATTATAGCTCCAATGGAAGATAAGATTAGAGAGAGTCATCTTAGATGGTTTGGTCACATTAAACAGAGGCCTTCCGATGACCCGGTTAGGAAAGTTAAGGTTTTAGATTTGTCTTATGTTAAGAAAGGTAGAGGTAGACCTAAAAAGACTTGGTTAGAAAATATTGGAAATGATCTTTTTTTATTAGATTTAAATGAGAATTTGACTTTTAACAGGACACAATGGTGAAAAAGGATTCATGTAGTCGACCCCATGTAGTGGGACAAAGGCTTGATGTTGTTGTTATTTATTCATGTAATGATTATTCGACAAGTTTTATGCTGGCTGTCGACTACCTAACGCAACCCTCCACTTTTCTCATTCAGGACTTAGTGACCGAATGGGACATTTGTTAGGTACTACATCTTTTGGTTGTCAAATCTAAGATATAGCTGTTAGGTTCTTCACTGTGCTTCTTTATGTTTTTTTGTGATGAACTAAACCATGTTTACGGAATTAATAATACTCTTAAACTCTAAGAACATACCTTTAGCACACACTAAAAATCTTATATATTTATTGCCGTCCAACTCATTCACAAAGTCGTAGACTTTTAGTATTTAATGGAAAAACAAACTTCCTTAGTGGTTATGGCAACTGGCTTTTCTTTTGATTGAAGCTTTTTGGAATCTTATTTTTTGAAAAGGACTTATCTGTTTGAAATGGCTCGTCTCATTAGCAACTTGGATAAAATTTTATGCTAATTCTTGAAGTTCCTGATTTGAAGGCCTTGCATGACTTTACTAATTATAGTATTATCTTTTGCTTTAAATTAAGCATTTAAATTAGAAGGTGGTTATTTTAACTCTTAAGAGGCTGAGCAAAGGAAATATCATCCTTACAAGGTGAATCATATAATCGCTCAGGGCCTCAAGTCTTAGGGTCTACTTGGGGCAGTTGGAACGTTTTATAAAGTTGGTTGTGAGGAAAGCAACTTAGTTACTCTAGTGGTTAAAAATAACTTTTCTCTACAGAAAATTTTGAGAACCAGTGAGAAAGCAATAAGAAAGTAGTAGATAAACAAAATTGTAGGTGTTATCTAAAAAACAAAGCACGAGAAACAGTCCCAAGCAGACTCTTAGGCTTCATTTGGAACGATTTTTTTACTGCTTCTTAAAACGGCTTTCTACTGCAAAATTAGTAGGAGATTCAGACATTAACTTAGGTTTCATTTGGGACAACTTTCTTACTACTTTCTAAAGTATCTTGTTAATACATTTTTTTTTAATTTAAGAAATTTTTGTGCTAAAAAACAGCTTTAGAAAGCAATAAGAAAGCTGTCTCAAATGAAGCCTAAGGTTTTGTTTGGGACGGCTTTCTTACTGCTTCTTAAAGCAGCTTTCTAGTAGAAAAATTTAAGTTTTGTACTAAAAAACTACTTTAAAAAGCAGTAAGAAAGCCGACCCAAATTAAGCCTTAGTCTTTTTTAAGCATACAAATTAGATTAATTCTTGATATTTTTTATAATTATTGTGTGGTTGCTGGCAATTTGTTCCATTGGTATCAAATGATTACTCTATATATCTGATGCTATGGATCATGATAGTGACATACTACTTCCAATATTTCTGATTAACAAAGAGGCCTTATGTTTAATAGTTTAGCCTTGAACAATAAGCTGCTTAACAAAGGCAGAGTGTATTACTTAAGATTTTCAGATGTTACATTAAATATACTTTGCTTTTCTTACAAGCACTAATGATAGGTAAATCAATCTTAAGAGAGTTGTTTTGGCAAAACAATTGATTTTCATCTGTTTTTTAATACAATTTCCAGCTTTTCAGCATCAACAAGAGTGTAGAATAGGAGATAGTTGACTTTAAGCTCTTTTTATTATTATCTTAATTTCCTACTTAACAAGAGCATTGATTCCCCAACCAAATCTAAGGTTGCTTTCTATGGGGTTTTTATTTTTATTTTTATTTAGTTTGTTTATGTTATCTTGCCGAATAAAAAGTCATATTAGAAGATGTTTCTGACTTCTGACCTACTTATCATGATGCGAGTTAATAATAATAATAATAATAATATATATTTTTTAAAGAATAAAAATATATATCAAATATTTTATTAGTTGAAAATAAGGCATCTCAATTAGAGATAAATGGCCACGAGACTAATTGCATATATAAGGATGGCATATGCTATTGATCATAGTAGGGATAAAGGTTTCATTTGGGATGGTTTTCTTATGGCTTCTTAAAGCAAAAATTTAGTACAAAATTTTTAATTTTTGTACGAAGAAGCTGTTATAAGAAGCAATAAAAAAGCTGTCCCAAACGAAGCCTTAATCTCTTATAAACTCCTATAGTAGACATAAGAATAGGAACTATAAGAACAATGTCTCTCTACATTCATTCTCATAATTATTGTTTAAGTTCCCTCTTAGCCATTGATATTGGCAAAGTTGTATCTTGAATTTATATTAATTTTATGTAGCATGTAATTACTATATGTACCACCCATTGATTTTTAGTGAATTATCTGATTTTTATGTAGCTATTGACATTCAATAAGACAACATATATTTTGTGTATGTCTGTGTTTTTGTATGTAACAATCCAAATTCATAACTATCGAGATATTGACCGCTTTGGCCTAAGGGCATCACCGCTTTATCCTGTTGGTGTAACTTTCCAGGAGGTCACCCATCTCAGGATTTCTTTGAGATGAGCACACTTAACTGCGGAGTTTCTTTAATGAAATTTCAACTATTACATTAAAAGATGACACGATGTTTAAGAGTTTAACTTCTTTTACTTAAGGGATTTCACTTTATATTTATTACATTTGTTTTTTTTTTTCATAAAAAGAGCATTTACTTATTATTGTTATCCTAATAATAAGTATCCTTGCTTCGGTTCATACCATTTTTATATCCAAGCATGATAATGGGAAAAATCAAAATTTATAAATTTGATAGCTAGAACTTCTAGTTCTTAATGATGTGGATAAAAAATTATTTGTACCAAAGATAGCTCCATCATCTTTTGAAGAGAGTGAAGTCATTATCAAACTATCACGAATAGTGTGAATTGCTCAATAAGCAAGTTATGAGACTTAGGCTTCGTTTGGGACAGCTTTTTCATTACTTTTTGAAGCAGTTTTTAGTATAAAAAACTTAATTTTTATGCTAAAAAACTACTTCGAAAAACAGTAAAAAGCCATCCCAAACAAATTCTTATTCACTTATCCCTTACTAAGAAAGTTACAAAAACATTCTTAATGAGACAATTACATCACGCATCATCAAAGCTATCTCTGACTTATATGAAGAGACATTTATAGGTAATAAGGTATATATTATGAGGAAGTTTAGCAATCTTAGAATGCCAGACACAGCTTCACTCTTTGATACATATATGGGTTAAATTTATTCATAATATTATTAAATTCTATTAATATCAATTATAAAGTTCAATGATAAGATTCATTTTTTAAGTTTATATTATTTGTTGCTCGAAAAATAGGATAACATTATGACGACTATGAAGTATTAACAATTCTTATGGACTGCCCATCTTGAAGCTTTATCAGGTATGAGATCTCATCAATAGTTCTTACAAGCATTAATGATAGGTAAATCAATCTTAAGAGAGTTGTTTTGGCAAAACAATTGATTTTCATCTGTTTTTTAATACAATTTCCAGCTTTTCAGCATCAAGAAGAGTGTAGAATAGGAGATAGTTGACTTTAAGCTCTTTTTATTATTATCTTAATTTCCTACTTAACAAGAGCATTGATTCCCCAACCAAATCTAAGGTTGCTTTCTATGGGGTTTTTATTTTTATTTTTATTTAGTTTGTTTATGTTATCTTGCCGAATAAAAAGTCATATTAGAAGATGTTTCTGACTTCTGACCTACTTATCATGATGCGAGTTAATAATAATAATAATAATAATATATATTTTTTAAAGAATAAAAATATATATCAAATATTTTATTAGTTGAAAATAAGGCATCTCAATTAGAGATAAATGGCCACGAGACTAATTGCATATATAAGGATGGCATATGCTATTGATCATAGTAGGGATAAAGGTTTCATTTGAGATGATTTTCTTATTGCTTCTTAAAGCAAAAATTTAGTACAAAATTTTTAATTTTTGTACGAAGAAGCTGTTATAAGAAGCAATAAAAAAGCCGTCCCAAACGAAGCCTTAATCTCTTATAAACTCCTATAGTAGACATAAGAATAGGAACTATAAGAACAATGTCTCTCTACATTCATTCTCATAATTATTGGTTAAGTTCCCTCTTAGCCATTGATATTGGCAAAGTTGTATCTTGAATTTATATTAATTTTATGTAGCATGTAATTACTATATGTACCACCCATTGATTTTTAGTGAATTATCTGATTTTTATGTAGCTATTGACATTCAATAAGACAACATATATTTTGTGTTTGTCTGTGTTTTTGTATGTAACAATCCAAATTCATAACTATCGAGATATTGACCGCTTTGGCTTAAGGGCATCACCGCTTTATCCTGTTGGCGTAACTTTCCAGGAGGTCACCCATCTCAGGATTTCTTTGAGATGAGCACACTTAACTGCAGAGTTTCTTTAATGAAATTTCAACTATTACACTAAAAGGCGCCTCGATGTTTAAGAGTTTAAACTTTTTTTATTTAAGAGATTTCACTTTATATTTAGTGCTGTTGCGTCTAGGAGTATTCGCGGTGGTAGAGAAATATCATTTTTAACGTCTTAGCATTGTAAGAAAATCCGGCACGCAATCAGATAAGAGAGAGGTCTAGCATTTATAAGACGCCAAGATTTTTACGTGGAAAACCCCTAAAAAGGGGGAAAAATCAAGGGGCCTAGCCCAGTTTGAATGAATCCACTAGTATTGCAGTTGATTACAAATGAGGCCCTTCCTTGGGAGAAGGCCTTAGCTTGATGTACATTTTATAGAGTACATTACATGATGTGAATACAAAGAATCACTATTGACGTCTTCGTTTGGTCGGGAGGAACATAGTCTGGTGACGGAGGTAAAAAAGGCTATAGTCTGCGGACGACGTAAGTCAGGAGGACCGTAGTTGACGGGAGAAGGAAGACGGAAAGACTGTAGTCGGTGGGCGACGTAAGTCAAAAGGACCGTAGTCGGCGGGCGACAGAGGTAGGAAAGACTGTAGTCGGTGGGCGACGTAAGTCAGGAGGATCATAGTCGACGGGCGACGGAGGTCGGAAAGACTGTAGTTGGCGGGCGACGAATGTTAGGCGGACTGTAGTCGGCTGGCGACGGAGGTCGGAAGGACTGTTGTTTGACAATGAATGTCAGAAGGACGACGTCAGGTAGAAGTCCAACAATGGACATAAATCCAAGATCAGGTAGATGTCCAGCAATAGTCTGATATCCGGTAGAAGTCCGGCGTCAGGTATAAACTTAGCGAATAGCGGAAGTCTGGCATCGGGTAGCATTCCGCCGTCAGTTGGTGGCCGAGGAGAACTCCAGCATTAGATGGTATTCAGGCATAACTCCTACGTTACTTGGAGTTCATGTGAAACCTCGGCGTCAATTGGAGAGGTTGGGCGGAATTCCGACGTCGTTCGGACAGAATTCTGGTGGCGGTGGTCGAGGAGGAGTTCTTCCCTCCTAATATTCTTCTCCTCCTTCTTCTTGCTTCCATCTTGCTTCGCCCCCTCTCAATGAAGAATGTGGGGTCTATTTATAGATTTTATGGAGTGGCATAACTTGTAAATAGGTGTGAGATCAGGGGCAAATAGGGAGTGGTGAATGGATGGCTGATATTGAATCCCTTGATTGCGCACCATTCGTTAGACATTTGAAGGTCTTAGTGATGTCGGAATTCGGCGATCTTGGGCTCGTTGGATTTGTCTCGCCGAGTCGCTCAATTTGACTATAAGCTCGTCAAATTCGGAGACCGTTTAGTAACTCAAATTGTGATACAAACTCTCCAACAGCGCTTCGGGTGCTCGATTTGGGCTCAAATTGAGTTGAATTTGGTGTCGTTGGGTTTGTATTTCCGAGACCCTCAGTTTGACCGTAAGCTAGTTGAAATCGGAGTTTAGGTGCTCCCGGATTTAATTTTTGAAGTTTCTAACTTGATTTTTGCCTCGAGATTCATGTCCGATCAAGATAATTTTTGCATGTATCAATTGCATTTGTTTTTTCCATAAAAAAAGAGCATTTACTTATTATTGTTATCATAATAATAAGTATCCGTGCTTTGGTTCATACCGTTTTTATATCCAAGCATGAAAATGGGAAAAAATCAAAATTTATAAATTTGATAGCTAGAATTTGATGGGAAAAAATGAATATTTTTTAGAGCATCTATAATAAATATAAATAAAATAATAAAAATTTTAAATTCATGTTCATCATCCTTGAGATTGTAACACCAAAATAGCAAAAGAAAAATCAAAATAGGCGCAGATGTCCAAAGCAAATTGAGTTTATCTGATATTGGCACCATCCAAAACAATGAAAAATTATTTTGTGCGTACAGACGTTCGAAGACCAATCAGAACGCTTCACATCACTTTTTTGCTCGATACCGGTGCTAGGTACCACTGTGTACTGAATGACGGGCGCATTCCGATTAATCTCCGAACTGTCTAGTGTCCGCATATAATAATTTCTACAAAACAATAGGCTCATCAAAATAGGCAACATCTATTAACATCTCCTGAGCCTTTGAAAGGAGAAGGAAGAAAAGCAGTGTCCACAAGCATTCCAATATGATATATCCAAAGCAAATTATAAGTTGAATGGCATAAGCAAAAGCATCAAGCAAAATATAATATTTGAATATTTGGAAGCAAATTGGTATTGAATTTCTATTTCCTGTTTTTTTATCTAATAATAACAAAGAAAATTCTATCTTCCCCAAAAGTGTTTTTTATTAAGCTCAATCCAAATATAGAATGCAGTGATAAGTACAACATGAAAAGCAAATTTTTTTTGATGGATTTCTAAGATTTAAACTTACTTTGGGAAGGCTTTTTTACTACTTAAAATAATTTTTAATACAAAAATTTTACAGCTTCTTAAAACAATTTTTTAATATAAAAATTAAAATTTTTTATACAAAAAAGTTATTTTTTGAAAAACATTAAAAAAAACTATCCCAAAAGTTGTTTTTAGGCTTTTGTGATAACTTTCTTGCTATTTTATAAAGTTGCTTTTTAATATAGAAATCTTTAGAAAGCAGAGAAAATGAATGGGTCTAAAGCTGTCTCAAATAAAAAAAGCTTAGTTTCGCATAACTTTCTTGCTACTTTTCAAAATAATTTTTTAATATAAAAATATCTAGCCCAAAAAAAATTTATATTAAAAATATGCTTTAGAAAGCAGTAAGACAGTTTATTTGAGACAACTTTCTTATTACTTTTTAAAACAACTTTTTAGTAAAATTATTTTAAAAAACAATAAAAAAACTATCTCAAACCTTAAGTATGCTGAAAAGTTTGTGAGAAAGACCGACCCATCTAAAGAAATGACATCCATAATGTATTATTGCAGGAAACCCACCCAAGCTGACCGGACAATTAAAGAAGAGATGTGCATTAGTTTCAGTGTAACAAGTACAAAGAATGTGACTCAACAGTTGCTTGCCAGTAGTACTAATAGTTGAAACTTGCATTCAATAACTATTCCATAACTAGAAAGCTCACATATTACAGAACATGAGAGATTATTGGATTCGGACAGCGAACACAGCTTACCGTTCGAACTTCACAGTACCGAATGATACTGAGCTCGATACTGTGAAGTACTGAGTTCGGTACTTCACAGTATCGAGCATACTGAGAAGTACCGAGCTCGGTACTACTCAGTACCGAGTATAGAGTGATGTGGCAGATTTTCATTGGCTTCGAACGGCATCCGGTGTCTGAACCCAATAATTTCCCTACAGAACAGGCACATCCAACAACTCAATACTCTACATGGAAGTGACTACAATCACTTCCTCACTAACAGAAACTGGCATTTTTTTATCTTAATTAATAACCTAAAAAATTGAACCTCAAATAATTATACATAAATTTTATTCAGAAAGTATGACAATATTCTGTTTAGATGAAAAATCATACGGTCTTAGAGCATTCAGGGCATGGCAGGTGTCCCTTAGATAGGCATTTGCTGCATTTTATAAATGATGATTTGATGCCGTCACCTTGAAATAACTGATAAAGATCATCTACCATGCTAAAGCCAAAGAGCCCTTCTTTCCTAACTAATCCTGATCCTTTGCACCTTAAGCATGCTATCATTCTGAGATCACCACATTTTTTACACATTCCCAAAGATCTGCAAAGAAAGACATAAATTACAAGGCAACTCACATAATGCAAGAAATTTAGGAGCAATTGATTCAATGTTATGCGCATAAGATGACGTGAGTGATACTTCATTCCTTCAGAGTTCCAGTATGGGTGATACTGGAGAAATTATTCTGAGTGGACGTCGGACGCAGCCCTCCGTCCGGAGGCGAATAAGGTGCAGACACGTCAGCAGTACCTAGCGAAGGGGTGACGTGGCGCATTCTGGTTTGTCTCCGGACGGCATTCGGCGTCCGCACAGAATAATTTTTCATGATATTGTGGGGTTGAGAATTAAAATTAACCATGGGCAAGTTTAAGCCACAGAAACTACTTAGGGTTAATTTGAGGTTCATTTAAGTTAACTTATAATAACCCCAAATTAAGCAAGTTGAGACCTCGATTAAACACTGGGCCTAGAATCAGATGAAGAAAGACAACATTTTGCTAAAAGAATGGCTAACACGAAAACAAAGAAAACAATCACAAAAAACTTCGTTGTTAGTAGAATTCGTGCCATTGCAACTATCAGTGAATAATAAATACAATATGAACAATTTTTGACAAGTTTAGACTTCTCTTTCACTGTTTTATTGCAAAATAAATAAAATAAAATAAAATTTAATGACAAGAAGATGAGCACATATAGTAGACATTTTGAGTGTTAACAATAATGAATATTTCCTATGAGTTTCAATAATGAAAAAATTTATCGGATAGGCTATTTACAATTGAAACAGATTGGAATACCAACCTTCTTTGAGATGCTGCGATAAAAGCATCCACTTTTGGAGCAGAAATCGTGGCACAAAGAAGCAAAGCACCAACTCCAAATCCAGCAAGCTCACTTGCGGTTATGTTCTCCATGCTTGTACTACTAACAATTTCCATCATTCGGTGAAATGCAAAAGTTACAAGCAGATAAAGGTTAAAAACCACAATGTGCTAAAAATCCACAAAAATGGGAAGTGAATGTTAAGATATGTTGAGCTCAATTTCTCATGCTTATCCCCTACAAATTTGATTTCAAAGTCATTTTAAACTATGAAAATCTTGGATAAGATTTTGACTAATTTGATTTTGGTGTTTAAATTTAGTGGCTATTAAACTTAAGACCAAATTCACAACTTATTTTGCTTTGTATTTGCCAATCTCATGATGCTCTATAAAAGAAAATGAAATCAAAGGATAGGTGGCACTGCTTAGTTCTTGTGGATGCCATAGAGGGAGGTATAAGACATCTCTCAGTCCAAAGGAAGAGAGAGATGGCGAGCCAATGAGCACATTGTTGAGGAACATAAGGTCAAGCATTGGCAACAGTGCACCTCTCTCAGTTCAAAAGGAGATGATCAACAAAAAGGATATTGATGTTGAGATTAACTAGAAGTCTAGAAGGGCATCAAACTCTTTGTGATCGATAATTTTGACCAGTGAAAAGTAGCAGTTAGAGGTCAAATTCTAGAGGTCAATGTTGTGAGTTGGTTAAGGAGGTCCAAACTCCAAGTGGCCTTTGGAAAGGTAAACAAGGTGCTACCATGATAGCATAAGAAGGTAAAGATGGTTCTACATACATGACATCAAACACTGAAAAGTTAAGCAACTTTTAAATCTATTACAAGTGATTCTGTGGATGCAGTGCGAGAGTTTTTGTCAATTGGGAGCTTCCAAAGGGCAGGAAAATCATATAAAAGGATCAAGGAACAACAAAACAACAAAGCAAAGGTTGTGTCAAAGGTTTACATGTTTATGATTGATGGACTAAGGCATTGCAAAGCTCCCTATGTTTGATTGAGAGAGGGAGTTGCACAAGCTTGGTTATCTATATCAAGACAAAACGTCAACAAGTAATATCCAAGTGATTGTTTGCTTAGATGTATGGAATTCAATTTCCTAATGGTTCTCTCATGCAAGTTTGATTTCAAAATCATTCAAATCCGTGAAAATCATGAATAGGATCTGGTCAAATTTGATTTTGATTTCAAGTTTGGTAGCTACAAAATTCAAGATCAAATTCATATTTTATCTAGCTTCGAATTCACACTTTATCTAGCTTCATACTTACCACCTCATAGTACTCTATAAAATGAGATGAAATCAAAAGGTATGTTGCATATCTCAACTTCTTGTGGATGACAACAAGAGCATCAATGACCTCTCCTGATTCAAGAGAAAAAGGTCTATCATGGCCCGATGAGCTAATCAATAATAGTGCACCTCTCTCAATTCAAGAGAAGATGGTTGACAACAACAATATTATTGCTAAGGTTTACTAAATGGGCATCGAGCTCTTGGTGGTCAATGATCCTGGTCAAGGAAGGAGTGTAGTCGAAGGTCGAGTCCTGGGGCCAATGCAAATTGGAAAGAGGATGAAGGTTGGAGCAAAATTATTACGTGCAGAGACCGGACGGCGCCCAGTCTTCAATCAGAATCGGCCACGTCGCATGTACACTATGTACAATTTGTACATAGGTGTGGCCTGTTCTGATTGGAGTTCGGACGCAAGCTGAGCTCGGACTCCACACCTAATAATTCCTCTGGAGCAAGAGGTGACCAATGACTTTCAAATAGGTGGAGGAAGGTGAGTGTGAGGGCTTGCATCTGAACTAGCAAGGAAAAGTAAATGAACTTAAGCAATACACAGCTACAAAGAAGTGGAAGAACAGAAGGTATATAGGGATATCATTTAATATATATACATATAATGATTGATATAATTTCTTCTTAAGATTTCTTTGTAGTTTGATCTCTGCTTTATAGTAATAATAAAGAGAGATGGGAAAATAAAGAGATTGAATAGAGAGAGAAAGAGAGATGTAGTGAGATAAAAAGGAAAATTTTGTGATGTGCAAATATATCGTATCTTGTAATTGTCTTTGAACCAGTGGATCATTTATTTCTCTGTGCGATCCCAAATGTAAGTGAATTTCACTAAACCACTCAAACAATCTTTGGTTCTTCTTTTTGGTGTGCTCTTGCAGATTATTTATTCTATTCTTGCAACCGCCATTTCTCTCAAGCGCACGTTTTCCCCAACAGTGAAAAGAGAGCAAATTTTAGGGGCTGTTTGGCAACAGGATTTAACAGAATTTATGCATGATTTGAGCAGGATTTAAGTCAAATCCTGCCAAACGGGATTTGAGCGCCCTCAGGGCAGAATAAATTCCCCATCTCCCCTTTGGATCGTAAATCCTGAAATTTGGCGGATTTATGGGATTTAGCCGAAGAAGCGCTTGAAAGGGAGAAAGATAGTTACCTTCACAGCGAGCGACCTCCCAGTCGCTGCTTCTGATCAAAATGTCTTGACTTCCGATCCGACAGGAAGGAACCTCGTCGAAGGAGCGAAGTCGAATAGCAACGAAGGAGCCAAAGAAGCAACGAAGTCGAACAGTAAAACCCTAGACACCTCAAAGCTATTGGGAAAAATTATTCTAATTTAACTTAATTAATATAAATTTACATACATATCACTTTATTTTATGTTATTTACATATCTAACACTCAAAACATTAATATTACACACCTATCAACCATCTACAATTTTAATATCAAATGTACCACTTCTATAATTCATTTATATCATTCATACAATCCTATAAGCTTTAATATTTCATTCCATGCACTCAAATTTATTCTATGGGTGGTAGTCATGTAATATTAATATTTGGGTTGTTAGATATGTAAATAACATAAAATAAAGTAGTATGTATGTAAAACCTTAAGTAAATTAATTAAATTCACTCATTTTGAGTAAGAACCCTTTACACCACAAACAAATTTGCTAGATTGTCACTCATCACCATCACCACTCGCCGGCCACCATGTACCGCAACTGCCACCCACCTCTCCCAGTCTCCACTGGCCACCACCATATGCCGCCGATTGTTGCCACCACTCCCAGCCACCACCGCCATTGGTCCCTGCACTTAAAAAAAAAATCACTCGCACTTACTTTAGAGTAATTCAAACAACACCAAAAAACAAGCATGTCATGATTTGCCAAATTTAGATTTATAGGATTTATTTAAATTCTACTCTTTTTTTTTTCTTTTTGGAAAGAATCCTATTAACGTTAAATCCTAGATGTTGCCAAATAGGCTCTTAGGTCATCTCCAACCAAACACTAAACTAGAATTTGCTATCCGTGAGCTGCTCCACCCGAACGCGAAAACTTGCGCCATTCTCGAGGCTGAACAATGCGACGCTTGGCGTCGCACTATTCACAAATGCTATTTTTTCGGTTAGAGAAAAAATATATCAAGAATATTCTTTTTTGATGTTATGAAATAGAATTTGATAGGAGTCGAGTTACTGCATTTTAGAGTGTCACTATATTTTGGAGTCAAAATGAGTTTTTCACTTGGAGATGCCCTTAGTTTCTTCCCAAAAAAAAAAAAAAGTCTTTATTTTTGTATTCTAATGCCTGTAACTGTGCAAGGTAAACAATAGCTATTTGTAATTCAGAAAGGCTTAGATCAGGTCCTGAGTGTTTTCGTCTTCTTCTTAGCTAGCTCTGTGGTCATGTTTTGCATGAATCTTTCACAATATTACGGCTGCAACTGCAAGCGAATCAAATGTTCGACGAATTACCCGTTGTTCGTTCGATTAAAACTTGTTTGTGATCATTTAATTAACTAAACAAACAAACCTGAACAATATTTTAAATACTTGGTTCTTAAATAAACAAACTTGAACGCTGATGCGTTCGGTTTATTTATGTTCGTAGACAACATCATTTGAAGTTCGTGAATAAACTCGACATAGACAATTGCTTTTATTATAAATGTGTTTGTTCGTAGATATGTTCATGAACATGTTTGTTTGATAGTTAAAAAAATTCGTTAAATATGTTCGCGAACATGTTCGATGTAATCGTTTGTTTGGAAGCTCGATAAAGCTCGTTTGTTTAGTTAATGAACATCTAAAAGTAGAGCTCGTTTATAGCTCGTTCATGTTTGTTTGTTTAAAACTCGATAAGCACTAAACGAACGAAATTGAACTAAACATGAACCGAACATGATCACTCATTAATCTAAATGAATCAAACATGAACACAAGCAATAAAGCTCGAACAAACATAAACAACCTGATATTAAATGAACACTCACATACTCAACTCGGCTCGATTAGTTTGCAGCCCTACACAATATTGCATCATATTTTCATTCATCACAGACCCCTTCAACAAAAAAATCGGTATTGCCAGGTTTCACTGCGGCTAATACTAACGATGAAAAAAGTCCAAAAAAACTAGCAAAAATGTCTAAATTTAAGCCCACACATAAAAACTATAGTGCGAAAGCAATTTTTCACCAATAAATCAGATTGTGAAAGTAGAAATTTCCAGAACTCAAAATCTAACATTATCGAGCTGTTATCAATGAAAATTAAAGCTTCGTTTGGGATGGATTTTTTTCTGTTTTTTAAAGCAGCTTTATAGTATTGTTGCGTCCAAGAGGGAACTCTGTCGTTAATTGAGAAGAATTTCCACATCCCGTGGAAGTTGGGAAGAATTCTAGCATTCTCCCAAATATCCAGCAGAATCCCGGCGTGTTCGGGCGGCAGGAAGAGCTCCGGCGGTGGTCGAGGAGGAGCTCTTCCTTCTCCTCCTTCTTCTTTTCTTCTTCTCTCTCTTCACTTGAGTCCCCTTGGTGTAGAATGAGGGCTCTATTTATAGTTTTTCTGGAGTGGCATAGCCCGTAAATAGGCGTGAGATCAAGGGCGAATTGGGAGTGGTTTGAATAGATGGCCGATATCGAATCCTTTGATAATGCACCGTTTGTTGGTCATTTGAAGGCCTTAATGATGTCGTAATTCAATGATCTTGGGCTCGTTGGATTCGTCTCGTCGAGACGTTCGATTCGAGTATAAGCTCGTCAAAATCGGAGACCGTTTGGTAACTCAAATTACGGTTTGAACCTTCCAACAGCGCTTTGAGCCCTAGATTCGGACTCATTTGGGCTCGGATTGGGTTGATCTTGGTGTCGTTGGGTTCGTATTTCCGAGATGCTCAGTTTGACTGTAAGCTCGCTGAAATCGGAGTTCGGGTGCTGCCAAAATTAATTTTTGAAGTTTCCAACTAGCCTTTGTTTCGAGATTCGTGCCCGATCAAGATAATTTTGTGATGCCGTATCAAGTACAAATTTTTTTAATTTTGTACTAAAAATCTGCTTTAAGAAGCAGAAAGAAAGCCGTCCCAAACGAAGCCTAAAGCAAAGCTACCAACCTTTGAATCAACGCTGTCATTAAAGGAAAAAAAAAACTAAGAGATGCAAATTAAAACACAAAAAATTAACTCATAGAGTGGATTTAAGTTTTGTTTGGAATAGATTTCTTACTATTTTATAAAACAATTTTTTAAATAAAATTTTTAATTCAAAATTTTTTTTTACTAAAAAATGATTTTAAATAACAATAAAAAATTTATTCTAAATAAAATCTTAATACCACAGATAAATCGGAGGAATAAGATGGAAAGTAAGATGTAAAAAAATTCTTAAGGAGATTTAGAAAGCTATGCTTCACATATGGAAAAAAACTAGACATTGGAGACAACCATATTTTGGGTTATTACATCCTTTCATAGAATAAATAAATAAATAAAGTTTCTTAATTATGAGAGTCGAAACTAAGAGAAATTATTACGTGCAGAGTATGAATATAACTTTGTCCGAACTCTAATGAAATGATGACATGTGGATTTTTAATATATATTTATATTTATATTTTTTTTTTCTTGCTAGCCCGAGACTTGACCCAGAGGTGATAGTTTTGATTTTTTGAAAAAGTTTCAAATTTAGGATTTATAGTTGGCGCTCATTTTAAAGAAAAAATCCACAAAAGCTCCACAATATTTAGGATTTTAGCCAAATAAAACTTTTGATACCTGCTTAGAAAGAAAAAAAAAAAGAGCAATAATAGATGAAGATGAAGACTATTTTGGTCGAGGACGTTGAATTCTTCAAGGAGATGACATGCTCACAGGACACAGAGGCTGAAAGGCAATATGCGAACGTCAAGGAAGACTTGAAGATAACAAAACTGCAGCCAACCATGGAGAGTTCATGGTATGAAGTGGAAGTTAATTTGGTTGGAGGTGCCGTAAGTTTGAACTTATCAATAAATTTCAAAATCCTCCCAAGTTTTACTGTGTTTCCTATAAATGTATAGTTTTTAGAGTCTATAGACATGTTAATTATGTATTTCTCCTCCAATGAATTTTTTTTTCCTAATTTGTAGAGAGAATTTTTACAAATGGAATTTTATTGAAATGTTTTTGGTTCTTTGTACACACCGTGTATTGCATGTGAAACACTTATATATACAGTGTGTATAAATTCTCTTGTATACAATGTACTTGTACGCACCTAACACATTCTGTTCAAGTGCGTACAAGCTTGTACACACTATATATGTGTATATAGCCTAAAATAGTGTGTATTGACTATGTAGAAGTGTGCAAGCTTGTACACCCTATGGTGTGTTCCTCTTCCTACATTTTTTTCCTTGTACACAGGTGTATATAAGGATGATAAAAAAGGCATAGAAGTTATAATGCAGGTATGCCCATAATACTGATTTTAATATTCATAAGGATCAGCTCAGTTATTTTGTTCAAATTCCAATAAAATAAATTTTAAGAACTTTATTAGTTTAAAATCTGGTTTCAAGAAGGAACCTGATTTGAATTCCCAAACAAAATTTTAAAAATTAAAAACTACAATGAGTTGTTCATCTATGATTAGATTTATAGTGGATGAATATGAATATTTAAAGATGTAAAATTTATTAAAAATCATAATCATAAAATAACTAGGCCAGAAGACCAACATTTACTTAGATCAAGTAGGAGCATCAGTTCTTAAATCAATGATATTAGTCAGGATAAAAATCATTTATACATTTTCCTACCTTGACGTTGAAGTTGGAGGTATAAAAAATTTTAGATTCTCTAAGAGAGATACATACATTCAAAAAAAAAAAAGAGAGCAAAGATTGTATATGACGGCATTAATTCGTTAATTCAATTATTTAAAAATAAACAAATTAATGAAAACATATTTGCATGTGACGTCTAAATTGATAAATTTGATAGATTGATGAATTTTTTTTATTGATGGGATGAATAGGATAACTTATGACTACTTTGGATATTTGAATTTTTTTTTTATACTTGTTATAGGCTTAAATAAATATAATTTAGTTTGTGAATCATTTGTCAGAGTTAATAAACATTGGTAGAATATTCTACTTGGGTGGCCTTTTTGTCAGATAAAATAATTGAATCATTTACGTGACTATTTAAAATATTTATACAAATAATATGGTATCCAATAATATGATAAAATTATTACGTGCGGTCAACGGATGCTGCCCGGAAGCCAATCAGGACGTGCCATGTTACCAATTTATTGTGTATCGTTACTATGTACTGTTGTGTAACGAGTGATGCGACACATCCTAATTGACCACCAAATAATCCGGTGACCGCACATACTAATTTCTCCAAAAAATGAGCAGCACAACTTAAACAGATTCCGACAAGCAAGCAATGTCAAACAACAGCATATAAATGAACAATAAAACATTTCCTCTGCAAAAATACAAATTAAGGTTTTAACCTTCTAAGAAACAAAATAATTCTAGCAAAAGAAAAAAAACTAAGGCCTTTCTACTGTTTTGCTACTGTAATTTCTGCCAGAATTGGCAGAAGCCTGATAGGAATAATGAACCTTCATGCCTGATTCATCAATTAGATTTTCACCAAATGAAATGAAAGCCAGGCATATTTACCCTTCTATAAGTTTAACACCGAAACTGCACCAGAAATTCAAGATAAAATTCAGGATTAGCACAAAAAAAAAATGTAAATTCATGTAAATTTCAGTAAAAATTATTGATATGAAGAGGTGTGAGGCTCATCAATACCCAAAAGGACTCGATTTGATGGATATTAGCTCAACATCCAACTGCATTTTGAAGGAATTGCAAGTTAAACTATTTCTCATGTACAGCCAGCCATGGAAACTCAAGGCAACATATTATCAATAGAAGGTGAACAGAAGAAGAAAATAGCTTTAGAAATAGTTCATGCTCTAAAAGCAACATATAGCTGGAATACTGGTAATTTGTCATATCAAGATAAGCTATAAGGGTTAGGTTTAAATGTTAGGCGGCTGTTGCTGCTGCATGCCAGCACAGTATGCGTGCGGAGACTGGACATAGAGAACCGTCCGGTTTGTCTCTATGAACAGTAAAAGCACAGTAAATTGTACTTTTACTGTTCACAGAGACAAACCGGATTGTTTTCTGTGTCTGATCTCCACACGTAATAATTTCTCGCCTGGAAGGGAATAGATGCACGTAGAAAATTATAAGATTAATATCCAACAAATAATTTTTTTTTTTTAACATAATGTGAGTGGTATTAACTATGCATCATCAAGCTTTTATCTAGCATGCCAGTTTCAGAGGTTTACTTGATGCAAAGAGGTTTCTATTTCTATTTTGATCCAGTTAAAGCTGGTATTTCCTCATTATTTATAAATGCATCATAGTGCCGAAGCACTCTAGTTCAAATAAAAATTCATAAATTTATATTTTAAAATATTTTTCATTTTTGGGCTGTTACAGTCTCCTAGAAAATAGCAACATCAAAGGAGCAGCAAAGGACTACCCGTTTTCTGCCCTTCGATTAATTTCAAACTTTGTAAACACTAGCCATACACAAACTACTATAGACAATATACAGTTTCCCGGTATTTTTATAACCTGTCATACCTGTTAATCTCGCATTCCTATCCCAAGCAAGGGATTAAAAGTCTTCAACAATTAGAACTAAAAATGGATGGTGGATGATATTTCATACCTCAATTGTTGCATTAGGAGGAATCTCCTGGACTCCTTTACTGCCATAAGCTAGTTTAGGCGGAACTATCAATAGTCTCTGCAATATTAATCAGTTCAAAATAACAATGTGATTGGGTCAAGAATAACCATAATTATGCAAAAAATATCTGAAAAAAAAAATACTGCTCAGGAAAACAAAGGAAAAAATGCTGTCTTTTGTAATTTTTCTGTATTCATGAAGCTTACGATCCATTTATATATATATTTTACTCGAACAGCCTAAAGTTCAACAAATTTATAGCAAGAAATGCACATGCAAGTTTCTTGTACCTGAAAATAATTTATATGATACTACAATCTAGAATTAATTGCAATTTATGCCAAAAAAAGTTTTTCAAGAAAGACGTTGAGGAAATAAGCAAACCAATAAAAGAGGGATTTTCATCATCGATAGGTGAAACAGGCACCTAGCTAGAGGTAGGGATTATATTTTAGATATAATGAAGCCTAAATTTTTTAAGCTTTGAAGCAAAGCAAGAAGCATAAGCTACAAACTTCGAAGCATAAACTTTCAGCATTTTAGGATTTGTTTGGGACGACTTTTTTACTGTTTCTTAAAGCGGCTTTCTATTATAAAAATTTTAATTTTTTTTACAAAAAAGCCGCTTTAAGAAGCAAAAAAAAGCCGTCCCAAACGAAACCTTAAGCAAGCCAACTACTTCAAAATGTTAACTTGTTTCCTGGATGACAGATTGATTAACCCTTTGGTTAAGTAACAGCAACGACATAGTTGCATCTATTTCTAATCATTAATTCATTTCTGGTGGCAACTGTATAATTGCATCAAGTTCTGAGTAAATTTTATAATCATCTCTGGTGGTAACTAAGTGCCGATCCGCAAAGTTTTTTCCTTGATACTACATAATGGTTTCTTATGCGATTTTCATGTTCAGAAACTTTTTTCAAGATCTTTTGAAACATGTAATTGAAGACTTTTTGAGTGTAGCTTGAATACATGTAATTATCTTCTTTTTCTATTTTTGTTGCAGCTGGGTGACTGTATTGTAAAATTCATGCTAGTAAAAATGAATTACTTTCATTTTATTTTTTATTGAGTGTTTATCAAATTCTAATAATTTTTCTATTGATTTATGGTTAGGGAATGAAGTTTGAGTTGCTTCTAAAAATTCATGACTAGATTCAAAATTGAATGGCTCGAATTAAATCAGCTCAACTCGAAATTACCACTATTGGTTCAATTTTGAGTCAAGCAGAAATCTATTCTTTCAAATGTGAGTTTTTTTTGTTTTTTTGTTTTTTTTTTTTGTAAGTTTTCAAATTTGAGTTTCGTAAGACTGACTAGGAATTGAGTATATAATAAACCCAGGAAGTTTTGAATATAACAACTTGAACATGCAGCACATTTTAAGATAAGATTCAAAGGGAGCTTTCACAATCGTCCAAACAGCACTGTGGCTAAATTAATTTCACTAAAGCTCAATAACGAAGAATATCAAAAGAAATTAATTGACACTCAAGTAGTCTTCATCCCAGCAGCTCTTTCAGGCTTAAAATGTTCATATTTCTATGCAGTAAATCATAAGAAAATATCAGGTTTGGCATACATTTCATGCAATTTTAATCAAATCAACACCACAGTACCTTCTCAACCAAAAAAATACACTTCCAGTTTAAGAATAGGGAAAAATAATCAATTACTCGCAAAAGGTACAGAGCCGAAATTCACAAGAAAGAGGGGATAAATAATACGTTTAAATGCTCAAGTAATTTTACCTGGCCGCCAACCCTCATTCCTTCAACCCCAAGATCCAAGCCTTTAAGAACAGTACCATTTTCAGACTGCCCGACATCAAAACCATAAGGCTGCAACAATTTAGCAACTATGAAAAGCTAGCAAAAATCCTAAAGAGCAGTTTTGATAAATTATGAAGAAAATTCATATAAAAATTTTGCCAAATAAATCAACTTCAAGAACAATTTGGAAGGACTAGAACACTTTAAGTATTGATGGAAAGGTAATAGAAATAAGTAGCTACAGAAATCTACAAATAAAACTGCACAAAAATTGTGGTAAACAACTATATAATGTTGCATCAGAAATCTCCATTCATACTTTTGAGCACGTTAAAGCTCAGGTGAAGAGAATAATGCTTGTCATGAACATGATCACATTGCATAATCATACCGTGCCACCAGTAACACCAAGGCCTTGACGACTAGTCATGAAAGTTACACCCTTCCACTTGGCAACATAATGCACCTACAAGAAATTCAATGATTAGATTGGCTTTTCAGAACAAGCAAAAGTTATCATGGTAGGTAGCATTCGGATTTTGAAAAGAAAACTAAGAAACCCAAAAGCTAAAACTAACAGAGACCGAACAATGGCTAAGAATATCAATAATGGGAAGGTTTGTAAAGATAGAAATGATTCCAACAACAACATCAAGTCTTCATTCCACTACGTGGGGTCGGCTACATGAATCATTTTTCTCCATTGTGTCTTGTTAAGAGTCAAATTCTCATTTAAATCTAATAAAGAAAGGTCATTTCTAATATTTTCTAACCAAGTCTTTTTA